TATTCATGATGACTACTCCGCCTCCTTTGTCGGCTTCTTTGAGAACGATACTTTCGTCATTATGTAAGTCATTTAAAGCTTTTTGCTCTTCTTTTGTGAGATTAGATCTAATATTCTTCTTAATATTAGGTAGGTTTATATTATCTAGGGTTTCACATACCGTATCTAGAGTTCGATTTCTACCTCGTTTTGGAATAAAGTGGGATTTATTTCTAACCAGGTCCTCTGGTTCCTCATTTTCACTATCTTCTGTTGATTAATCGTTATCTTCGTAAAAGTATTCCTTTAGTCGTAGTCGCCCTGTATATTCCTTTACGTCCGTTTTAAGTTCTTGGTTATTCATACGTGGGGTGGGTGTATATTTCAAGCCTCTAGATAATAATTTTATCTCTTCTTTAGTTAATATCCTATCTGAAAGATTAAACACTTTAGGATCAACTTCTATTGATTCCTTGGTTTTATTTGTTTCCTCAACATCAACTAAATTTGCGTTGTTTGTTGATATAATTGTGGTATGTGCCTCTGTCCTTGGTTGGGTTTACCGCCTCCTAAAAAATAGTGCCGCACACCACATCCGATGAAAGTTGTTTTTTTCATTTCTATAAATGTTTGAGGGTTTGTACCGTCTAATAATCCGTTGGTGATGGTGGTTATTATTTTGTAGGTGGTTAATTCCTTGTTGGTATTTCCTCTTAAATTTATGGTTTTTCGGATAGGAGTGGGGTGAATTTCGATTCGCGTTATTGAACGTTGTCCATCGAGTGTAATGGCGACGTAGACTTTGTTCTGGGGGCAATGCTTGATTTGCTTTTTGATTTCTTGTGACGTTGGGATTCGATCCAGTCCGCATGGTATCATTGCTCACAACAGATGCATAGGTAGCTCTTGTTGTATCATTCTTACCGGAGTTTTTTGGTACTGGTTTTCTTATCAACTGTTTTCCTTTCGGCTGTTTAGTAGACTCCTTGCCATATGTTTTTGCGTAGTCTAATAGCCAGGTTTCCGTGAATCTCCATCTGTTAAATGATTTGTCCTCTTCCTTTTGACAATCAGATTTCCATAGTTTTCGAAGCATTTCTAGAATTCTAGAATTACTCCAATGGCGTTATTCTTCAATTTCAGATCCATTTCTTCGTACATATATATATATATATATATATATATATATATATATATATATATATATATATATATATATATATATATATATATATATATATATATATATATATATATTGGACAAACGAGAAAAATAAATGCCAGGGTTCGTGTGCACAAGCAACAAATTAAAGACCCTAGTGTGCGTAATACACCGTGTTGTGAACATTTCACAAAATGTGGCAAAGGAATATTTAAGATTTTCCCTTTTTATAAACTTCCAAATGACAACGAAAATTTACGTTTGGCAAAAGAAGACTATTTTATCAACCTCTTTAAACCCAAACTTAATCGCAAACGATAATTTCTTAGCAAAAAAATTTGATTATGTTGATTACGCTGAATTCTATATAGGACGTACAGGACAAGTCGGGCGTTGTTCCACAGTGTCAAAGCAGAAATCGTCAAACTTGAAACGTTGATCATCTGTTTACAATTGTAGAGTTTATTTAATTGTTAGATTATGCTTACCCTTTATTTTTAATGGATTTCTATTATTTACTAAAAAGACCTGTGGAAAACTTGTGTTCTTGTCAAACTTCAATAACCCCGGAAAACAATAACACATTTCTTCCTGAAAATCAGAAATTATGGTGAATATGTAAACATTGTTAATAAACTGAATAGAAAAATAACTGAATCATCAGACTAAATAACAATAGACTGCTCACCATTATTGCAAAAGCTGTTGTGTTTTCAGATTCTTTGCATATAAAGTAACAATCGTAGATACTATTATCAGAATTATTTAAATATATTCCATTTATACCCGCCGTATCCAACGAATAGCTACCTGTGAAATAGAAGTACCTTTATTTTAAATTGGGTTGTAAAATACACAAATTGTCATGTGTTTTGAATCACGTAGGAATGTGTTTACTTACAGAATTTATATATACTCAAAAAAAAAAGAAACGCATATTGTTTTACTCGTCAAAGAAATTTTAAAAATGTACTTGGAACAACTATCTTTTATATCATTGGATACCTGTGACCTATTTAAAGGACAACATGGGGTTTTAAAACCCAAGTGTTGAATTATCTCCCTTGATTAAACGTGTTTATGAAAGTAGTGTTTTTCCTGATTTCTTCTAAATCGGATGTATATTTTCGTTGATATTTTGGATTTAGAGAAACTATTAACACTCCTATTAAACCCATATTTAAGATTTGATTGCAGTGTTGATACTGCAATGCCACGCCAAAACAAAGATGAACACAACCAGGCTAACGATGATACTAAACGGAGCTACGCAACAAAAATTTGCAACTGCATTTGGAATACATCAATGGGCTTTGTAACCGTTAAACTAACGTCGGAAGACCATGAATTGGCCGTCCGCAGGTAACCACACCCAGGCAGGACGTCCTAACCCCCCCCCCCCCCCTTTCAGCACCTCGTGCGATTCAGAACTTGCTGTAAAAACTGATGTTACAATTGCTGGATTAAAAAAATCAGCATAAAAGTGCATGAATTGTTCGCAAGAGACAGAGGAGATGGTATTCCTCCACGACATCCGTACATTGAAAACCAACTAGCGTTGAGACGTCGCACAGTACATATTGTCATGCCCCTTGAATTTAGGGGCGATGAAAATGACATCAATTCGACATTTCAATTTGCAACATAGGACATGTTTGATTTTTATCACTACACACTCTAAAATCACTTAGATAAAATAAGGTTTAAACTGAAAACTTAGATTTTTATATTATTCTGAATATGCGTTTCTTTTTTTGTTGAGTACATATAATTAGACAGAAAATGACTTCGAATTCAATTATTAAACATTTTAAGTAGAAAATGAAATGGCAATCTTTTTACTCATGTACATTTATTCAATGATAAGTGCAGACTTAATTCATATCAAGCAAATAAAATTGATTCATCTTGATACACAAATAAACAATACCCCAAAACTCGAACCAAGCAGTCTGTTTCACTGTCGCTCCAATCCAGGACAAATCGTCTGGCAATGTATTGGGAATCGCAATATTATCTTCCTGTACTTCGCCCGTGTTGTTTGATCCAATGAGAAGGCATTGACTGGCGGCTTCTGGCCATGTTCTGCTGATTGAGACTGCAACAAACATGTAAAGCATTCATATGGGGAATCCTATCGCAACTTGAACACCCCATCGAAACACCAAAAGCAATGCCCTGGGACAACAAGATACATATACAATGTATCAGGGCTATGCGGTAAAGCGTATGTATGTCTGTAAGTGTTTTCAGATGATTGACTGTCTAATGATCTTTGGCTGTCAAAACGTCATTGAATTAATTCTGAATGTTGTCCTCGACCAATATCTGACCTTGGCCCTCTGGCTGATATTGCGAGATGTCTTGGTCTAATTAAGGATGTGAAATAGAACAGGGTATGCATTATTCTCTCTCTCTCTCAGAGAGAGAATGAGAGAGAAAGAGATCTAAGATCTCAGATGAGAAAACATGGGTAGCAACTGTTCCTTTGCCATGCACTCGGCTCTTGAAGTGAAAGTTACGGGTCCTTCGGATGAGGCATTTGAAACGGAGGTCCCGTGTCAAGGTAGGAAGTGGTACGATAAAGATTCCGCTCTGCTCAATGGCTATGAGTGCCGAGTAATGGTCAGATTTTGAAGCCCTCCACCGTTATATGGCGTCGTCTGTGTGCATGTATAAGTTAAAAAAATTATCGAATAAGACGTAAAACAACACAGAATCAGTCTCTGCTGGGATGTTGCACGTTCTTCATACAAATGTTCCTTATAAAGTAAAACTCAAAATGAAATATTTACATTTGCCAATGTCTTTCCTTATATGATGATACTAAAAAAATGAAATTCAATTTTCGATGACATGCAGTCGGTCAGATGATCTCACTTTCTTGCATATGAAAAGCAAACTGCGCGAGACATTTGGAAAGGCTTGACTGTGACGTCATATGACGTCATATGACGTCGTATTTATACGTTATGTTGCATTCAATAACAAAGTCTAAATTATAGAGCATTTTGTCTTTGTAATGTGAATAGAAATAAAAAATATAAATATAAGAAAAATCTTTTTTAGAGTGTCAATGGGATATGACATGAAGGCGGTACGTGATCAAATCTACTATAACGCTCTTCGGGTATTATAGAATTTGATCACGTGACCGACTTCATGTCATATCCCAATGACAATCTTAAAATGATATTTTTTTATTAATTAAATAATAAAAAAAACAAGATGCGTTCGTGAAATGTTGCTGCTCCCTTACTTAACACATGGCAAAGGTGAAATAATTCTTGGAATCAAGTTAAAGTTCAATGTCAAGAGATAAAAAAGAACCGTTCGTACTGAAATAAAGGTCTTGTCAAGAAAATACATGTATGAAATTTGAAAGCCATAGACCAAATCTTTATGTGTTCAAGGTTAAATCAAAATTTGGTAAAACTTTGCAAAAGAGAGTCGAAATCAAGGGTCAGGAGATCAAATATCCTAAAGATATAAATCAAATATCAGTCATGTCATCCTGAATTAATTTCAATTGGATTTATCAATAGATAACATAGAACTGTCCTTCCTGAATTTGTTATCTCATTCAGTTAAATTAATAGCAACATCTTTTATCTTGTTTCCTGGATTTTTGCACTTTTCTGTTCACCCAGGCTGATAATATGCTATATTAATAATACATTCGGTAGATTCGATGTCATTTTTACAATATCGTCGTGTACTAGGACCTATATATAGCCCAAATCATTTTAATTTAAAATTGATGTTACATTTTTTACATTTAAAAGGATGTAACATTGCTATTATGATAAAAAGCGAACTTTAAAAAAAGAAGATATTTAAATAATGTATAAAAACATACCTTCTACTGTAGCATGTGATAATTCATATAAATTCCCCAGAATAAAAAATATTTTGATGCAGCGGCTAGGAAAAAACATTTTTCCTTCTACAAATTGAGGAACTCAAATGAGATATTTTATCTCATCTTATAAAAAATCACTATCTTCTCTTTGGTAGAGTGCAATGCATAAAAGTGCTTTGCACTAACGCTTACGATTATCAACATCCGTATATTTCGTGATAGGATGAGGGTTCTCTTTGTCACAGGAAGAAATTAATAAGGAAAACACCGAAAGCTTTGTAACAAAACTCTAATGATAAAATGTCGTAAAATGATACAAATATCATAAAGCGTTACAATTGCAACAATTAATGCCATATGTAATTGCATTTATTTAATATTTGACAACCTCAACTGATAGTGCCAAATCGCTGCTTAATGATAGAATCATATCATTAAGCGTCGTCACAAATGCAGAGAAACACCTACGCTTAAAGAAACAAGCAAATATCAACATAATCGACGGTTGATGATACACATTTTGTATTTATCATTAAGCATTGTAGTCGCATCCTTTAGCTTTAACGATTGAAATTTTTAAATGTCTGTCAATTTTAAGAAAAATATAAATCCATATTGTCTTCTATCACTTGCAAAAACATTTATATATCTTGTGCTATAGAAAAAACTAGTAATTTTTGGAGTTTTTCCATGTTTTTTCATAAACGAGGTACATTTGCTACGCAGGGTTCTAAATTGTTTCCACGCAAACAATTGTTCATTAATATCGTAAAATACATGTAAATTTAAACCAGATACTGTCACGAGACAGTAATATCCGCACATAGGTGTTTGCCTCTAAATACACACTCCTCAACCATACAATATTCCAGGCAAGATTATTGCATTGTTTTGATAATAAAAATATAACAGTAGAATTGAAAAACATGTATGCATTCTATGATCCATGTTTTCATGCATTGCTCCGAATATCAAGTTTAAAAAAAAAAAACAAATTTACTCTCAAGAATGGTGTGTATACATGTTTTTCCTGATTTTCTCATACATGTATTTCAGAATTGATTTCATCCACATGAACATGAAGTGATGGAAATAATTTGCTCCTGCCAAGTATTCCTTCTACTGTCCATCTTTGAATTTGAAAAGCTGTTTATAAAATAAATTTTCTAGATAAATAATACTTGAACTTTGCCATATACCTACACTTATTATATTGCCGTTGAAAAGGCTATAAAGATTTGAAAATCTTAACTTGCTATATTTTCTGTTGTGATTGCCAATGTCCATCGTGTTCATATTTCCAGCATGTACATTGTGTTTATTTCTTTCTCAATATTAGAAACTAAAAAGAAGACAAAAGATCCCCTCTAATTGATTCAAAACAGGAAAGGAGGAACACCATTCGATCTGAAGGGAGGGGGATGGTTGGCAAAATGTTCCAAGTCAATTTATTTTTATTTTCATGTCAAGGAAAGATTAATGTCTATATCCAATAAGATGAAGTACATATTATTTATTTTCCTCTTATTGAAAAATGTCTGACAAGCAGGGGGGGGGGGGGTGGCACTAGTCTGAGACAGATTATTTACCGGTATATTTCTTATCCAGTCGAGTAAATATTAATTTCAACATTTTTGAGGACTGTTTATTTACCAAGAAATGCCACCCCACCCCTTCACCCAAGAATAAAATGGTTGTCCACTGATCAAATACAGGAGTATACACCTATGCTTTCCACTTAGTTCCTAAAACATAACTTGATTCAAATCCCTTAAGAGTGGACGGTTTGTTTGAAAGTCAGGATAGAATCTCGGTTCCTTATAAAACTCCCTTTGATGCATCATGATGTATTTTTGACACCTTTGTTGACAGGTCAGATGTTGTCTGCAGTGAAGAGGCAGATTTTTGTGCAGCATGGTATATGTTTAACAACTTTGTTGACTAGGCCTAATAAGAAGTTGGCTGCAGTTTAGAGGCACTTTTATACAGCATGGTGTATATTGACACCTTTGTTGACTGATCAGAAATTGTCTGCAGTCAAGAGTCACATTTTTGTGCAGCATGGCATATGTTTGACATCTTTTTTAACTGGTCAGAAGTTGTCTGCAGTTAAGAAGGTCAATGTTCATGATTATAAATTCCCATTTTGCTGTCTGGTTAGTATTTGACTACAGACACTGTTTTGTATACTTTTTAAAACTATTTCAGGTTTTGTCCTTTGTAATGTCATCTGGTTTTTGTAAGAAAATATTGTTTTCACTCAGTCTCATTGTATGTTTCTTGTTCCTGTTTACAATGACTAGTGTATTGTCTTTTAAACTGAGTATACGAAAAATATTGAGATGTTTAAATACTTTTGTATGAATCATCCTATCAAGAAATTTTGCGTCTCCTGCCAGGACGCCTTTTGATGGGTGGATCCAATCTCTGATTGGGTTGTGGCTGTTTGTTATTTTGTTTTCCCACCTATATGTATATGTCTTCAAATCCTATGATGTTTATCAGGGTATCAATTTGAAATACATGTATATTATACCTTGTGATAGATTACAGGATTTAAATTCTTATTCTAGTCCAGTTGACCCCCTTTTGTCTATGTACATCATGTCACAATGTCATTATGATGCTTGGATTCCGATTTTGTGATATATGTTGCCTGGGATGTGTAATACTCTATATTTGAGTCCTTTTTCCCACCCCAATTTTCTTAACTGTACATGTGTTTTACTTTTCCGTCATTTACTTTAATAAATTATATATTTCACTTCTACTTGATGTTATTTGTTTTTGCCTGCTTTTTACGAAAGAGAAGCTCAGTTGTTTGGCAGGAGAACTAAGTTAAATAAACATATTTACAAATCTTCGCACTTGATGTCAAACATTATCTAAAAATGAACACCATGATAAAGATTTTTTTTAAATCGTCTCTTTATTATTAACTGTCTACCTGATTGATGGTTGGTCTTTCATCTTTTAATAAAGATTAGGATTCAATCAATGTTTTAAAGAAATAAGAGCATGTTATTTCTTAAAAAAAAGGATTTCTTATCACCATTAGAAATTTTCATGGAAATATAAAAAAAAAAAAAAGATTATTAAGATTTAATGAGGTTTACCTAGTGGCGACTGATCATTATGGTGGTCCCCCTTTCAGACGACCCACTCGACGACAGAAAAGACCACGCCCCCCATGATTTTCGAACCGTCCAATGACCAAATAAATCGTTTTGGTTTATTTCTCGCAATAGCGTCAGAGAAATGAGGATGGAGGCTACTCCTGGCTATACGAAACAGCATTATCAAGTATCATGCATCCGGGCTTTCAACTGCAAAAATAAAGAAAATCCTCGAAACAAACCACAACTTCAAAACAACTAGACAGAATGTGAGACGATTCCTTATTTGCTATAAATTAACTGGTTGTGATTTGGATCAAAAGTACAGTACAGACCACAAATGGGGCACCGTGGACCTCGGACCATGTCGGTGTCATTGAAGTCAGTGATTCTGTGCACCGCGTAACACGGTGTATCACAGTTCCCCTTTACGGATCTGATCATAAATATTTTCATTTTCTTTATTTTAGCAAATTAGATCAATTTCCTTTTGAAATATTTGATGTTATTAAATTTGCGTAATTTAACGATACAGATGTTTACGTGTAAACTTATAAGATGCCCTAAAATTTAATATAATCGTGCTTGTGTGCCCAGCAAAAAACATCCCTCTTTAAAAAATCTCTCCATAAAAAAATTGCCTAACGAATTTCTAGCAAATAGAATGTCCAAACTTCAGTAAAAATATTACCTCATTCCGAGATACATCTTATGAAAAGTCACAAGAAAAAAAAACAGTTTGCCAAAAAAATATAGATATTAAGGTTTGTTACCCCCATCACATTTCTATAGAAAGCAATACGAATTAGCTGGTAAAAGGTTCTATAGAAGTCTGAAAAAAATAATCTAGAGGACTAGAGGATACATGCTTATTTGTGTCTGAAAAAGGTTTCTTTGCAAAATTAAATGAAAATAAAAAAAAACAATTTCAATTATCTTTCAAGCTACATTATGTTTGTTAACCCCCCTTTTTTGAGAAGGCGATACTACATGTTATTAGCTAGATAAAAACTCATTAAAAGTCTGTTAATGTATATAAGGTTATTTTTACATTTTATTTTATAGAAAAATGATAATAAAGGAAAACATGCTTATTTATTTGTGTCTGAAGTAAATTTGTAATCAGTGTAGTGATAGAAGATGCGCTGGGTGTTATTTCAGGGTCACCTAGCGTCATGCAATTTTGATTGACATGTGGTGCACGAGGATTTCGTGCATACAACATGTACAGAGAACGAATTGATTGCTCAATAGTTTTAAATGGGTTGATTATGAACCAAATTTGTGGAAATTGCTAAATAGCATCATAGACTGATTAATTGTTACTTTTGCGATGTAGACAAAACGAAGAATTAAAATAAATACAAGATTTTCTTTAAAGATTATGTAACAAGGGTCTCTCTCTCTCTCATTCATGATATTTTTTTACACACTTGACAAAAAAAAACAATAACCTATTGAAATAAAGAAAAACTTATTAAATTAAGTGCTTACACTGAAAGGATTTTTGAAAACATAAATACTAATCTATGTCAGTGGCATATACATGTACTCCAGGTCACTTTTGATTTGGACGCAAGAGTAGACAGGGGGGGGGGGGCTTAATATGCCCAATGGGTCCGTGGTTTAGCCTGGTGAGGATCCAGGGGGCGATGCCCCCTGACAGCTATTGAATTTCGATGAGCATATTCGACCCTCCTGATCTCTATTTTTCTAACAATTTTAAGTTTGTTATGCACCCATGTTTTCAAGGTCTGTTTTGTTTGGTACAAAATATGGACAAACACCGTTGTGGATCCTTATCGTCTCTGACAAGGTCAGACGAGCTTGAGTTTTCTCTTCTCTCACTTAACAGCGGTGTGCTGGATTGAATGTGCCTGGGTGTTGTTGGCAGTGGAGGAAAACGATAAAATGAGAAAGGATATGCCCAATTAATTGTATCAGCGTTTATGTAATATGAAGAGCCCACTTAAGACAAAATACTTATGATAAATTAATTGGTTAGAGTAGTACATGTATATAAAAATGTAATACATTTAAAAAAAATCAGCAATACGTAATCCAGATTCAAGGATAATCTAATGATCTCAGAAATACAGATGTCTATTATCATATTTTCCCCTAAAACTGATTCTGTTGATTTTCAGTTATTATTCATCGTTTATTAAATTGTTTCTAATCATTTCTTTTATTTTTAAAAGTATTTATTTATTGCAAAATGATTTTAGAGCATAAAACTTTCGCCTGCCTCTCCTTCTCTCCTTTTTTCCCCTACAAATGTACGCCTGGCAACTCGCTTGTATGTAAAGAATGTTTTCTGTTACGAGTAATACGCTCGCGCGGAAGTGAATGTATTTTTTCAATTGAAACTGAGACATACATGTACAGGCACGTAGCAACGGGGGGGGGGTTGCTGCCCCCCCCCCCACTTTTTTACCAGCAATACCTTAACTATTGAAAATGTCCATTGAAAGGTAGGTTGCCCCCCAACCCCCATTCCTTACCACAGTATAGTGATATGAACTAAATGTAGTACTAGTAGTACTAGTGGCCACTACTACGATTTTCGAGTTAGGGCAATTAGTTTCTTTTTTTCCTTGTCAAATTTTACAAATTAGTAAAAAAATAAAAAAAATTTCTCTGGCTGCACCCCCCCCCCCCACTTAAAAAATGATGTTACGTGCCTGATGTAGCCCACATTACCATGACTACAAGATTAATGATAAACATATTAACAAATTGAAAAAAATAAACTTTCTGGCTAAATGAAACTCATCGATACTTAAATTTATATTTACATTTGATGATAACAGGAATATAAGTATGTGCGTGCATGAAATACTTCAATAGTCATTAACAATGGACAAATTTTTAGCAGCCAATCAAGGAATATAGCTAATAGAGTCCACTGCGGCAACGCACCTTGAAAAAATTACGCACTTTGAAAAAAAAATTCAAAGTGCGTTAAAATTCGGACAAAATCAACGCACTTTTTCAAAGTGCGTTAAATTTTGGACATACTCAACGCACTTTGAAATTTTTTTTCAAAGTGCGTTAAAAGTTTACATCAATATATTTTACCATGGAGACAATTAACGCACTTTAACAAAAAATGTAAACAAAAAAATACAGAATATAGTTTTTAGTTATGGAACGATTCTTATCTTTTTCAGTGTTATTTATCTGGCAAAAAACTTATGAACTGTTTTACTCCCGTCGAGAAGGGGAGACGACGGGTAGAAGATCTATCAGCCTAACTCTACAATAACAAATTTTTGGTTTCAAGTTTCTCAGGAACTACTCATTGCAGATGGTTGAAATTTAAGCATATTCTTTTCTAAGGCATGAGATTTATAAATTGTTTAAATCCTATGTCAATGTTATCCGTGTGTCTGTCCCTACCATACATAATTTATTTTTGTCACAGTTTTCACAGGAACTATTCATAGCAGATGCTTAAAATTTTATCACATTCTCTGCTCAGGCATGTCATATAGTGGGATTTATTTTTATTCTTATATGACGTAAACTTCCTTTTTGTCTGTGCATCTGAACTTGTGTATATTAACACGAAAGTGTATATTCAGATCAAAACTGAGTTATTACTAGTGAGCATTGATTCTCAAACTTATTGTTTTATAAGGCTTTAAATAACTGTTATTATATGTTCTTTGTAATCACTTGTACATTACTGTAAGTTATTAAATAAACCTTATAATCACTAGTTAGTTATTATATTATCCATGCTATTACTGGTAAATTATTATATATTTTCCCTGTTATCCATATTATATAATCCTTGTTATCACTGTTTAGTTATTATTCAAGCCTAGTCATCACTGTTAAGTTATTATTTAATCCTTGTTTTCACTGTTCACTTATTAGATAATCTTTGTTTAATTGTAAAGTTATAATATAATCTTTTTTATCACTGTTATTATATAATCCTAGTAATCACTAATTAGTTATTATATAATCTGTGTAATAACTTTAAAGTTATCATATATTCCATGTTGTCACTGATGAGTATTATACTCCTTGTAATGACTGTTAAATTATTATATAAACCTTGTTATTACTGTTAAGATATTATATAATCTTTTTAGCCCCTAGTAAGTTATTATTTAATCATTGTTATCAGTGTTAAGTTATTATATAATCCTATTTATCACTAGTTATATAACCCTTGTAAATACTAATTAATTATTATATTATATGTGTAATAACTGTAAAGTTATATACATGTAATCCATGTTGTCACTGTAAAGTTATTATATACTCCTTGTAAACACTGGTAAGTTATAATTTAATCCTGGTAATTACTGGTAAGTTTTTATATAATCTTTGAAATCACTGTTAAGTTAATATATAGTCATTGTTATCACTGGTAAGTTTTTCCCCTTTTTTTAACAATGAGTCTGTATTACACCCATCAAAATGATTTCTTCCCACAGATGTTAATCTATTGGATATAATTTGAGATTAATACTATTTTTTGCGAAAAAAAATAACATCACAGGAGGAAGAAATTACCTTAAATTTTAAATTTTGTTAATATCCCTCTTGCATTAATTGAAACCTTTGAGAGCCCTTTTATATTCTGATATTAAGAGAATTTTTTACTTATCCATTAATTCAATTTCATTTTTTGTCTTTAAAGTCATCTAGAAATTATGCAGCATTTAATGAAGAATATCAATTTTTTTAAATAGGAATATATAAGAATAAAATAATATTATATTTGTACTAATATTTTTTTAGCCATACAGCGTTCTTCAATTAATACTCTTGAATAAATTAATTCAACTTGGTTTAGAATTGGATAAATTTATACTTAACTAAAACAATTTCAATGATATCTTCTTGAGAATAATAAGGTTACATTGTAATTGATTTATACTTATTATCATGCAAACATTTGTACGTCATTCAAGTAAGGATGAAAAAAAGTTTTCATTTGAGATTTTAGGTTGTTGCTTTTATAAATCTATTTCGAATAGTGAATTGACTGATATACTCAGTATCTCCTCATTCATGTATAATATAAATTTTAACTACACGGACTTTTTCACATTTATAGCATCGAACACCTCTAGGCCGTCACCAAGAAACGTGACTACTAAGGGAAGTGACTGTTCCATAAATTACTCCAGTGGTAAGTTTTTATATTATCCTTGTAATCACTGGTAAGTTATTATAAAATCATTGTTATCACTGACAAGTTAATATATAATCTTTGTTATCAGAATCACTTACAAATATAAATGTTAACTACACAGATATTTTCATATTTACGGGATCCAACAGGTCGTCACCAATCAGCGTGACTAGTAAGAGCAGTAACTGCTCGATAGATGACAGTGGTAAGTTATTTTATTATCCTTGTTACCATTGATAAATCATTATAAAATCCTTGTAATCACTGGTAAGTTATTTTATTATCCTTGTTATCATTGATAAATCATTATAAAATCCTTGTAATCACTGGTAAGTTATTTTATTATCCTTGTTATCATTGATAAATCATTATAAAATCCTTGTAATCACTGGAAAGTTATTTTATTATCCTTGTTATCATTGATAAATCATTATAAAATCCTTGTAATCACTGGTAAGTTATTTTATTATCCTTGTTATCATTGATAAATCATTATAAAATCCTTGTAATCACTGGTAAGTTATTTTATTATCCTTGTTATCATTGATAAATCATTATAAAATCCTTGTAATCACTGGAAAGTTATTTTATTATCCTTGTTACCATTGATAAATTATTATAAAATCCTTGTAATCACTGGTAAGTTATTTTATTATCCTTGTTATCATTGATAAATCATTATAAAATCCTTGTAATCACTGGTAAGTTATTTTATTATCCTTGTTACCATTGATAAATCATTATAAAATCCTTGTAATCACTGGTAAGTTATTTTATTATCCTTGTTACCATTGATAAATCATTATAAAATCCTTGTAATCACTGGTAAGTTATTTTATAATCCTTGTTACCATTTATAAGTCATCATAAAATCCTTGTAATCCTTACTATCAATAATCTTTGTTATCTCTTACAAGTTACACATGTAAAATAACTATATGTATAATTATATAACTTATATAATATTATTTAATCATTGGAAATTGTAAAGTAATTACATAATCATTGTAATCACTGTTAAGTTATGATATAATACTTGTTATCACGTTTAAGTTATATAATCTTTGTTATCACCAGTAAGTTATCATATTATCCTCGTAATCACTGTTAAACTATTATACATATTCACATTTACAGCATCAAAAACCAACAGCCCGTCTTTCAAGCGCAAAAGTGGTGAGGGTAGTTCCTGTTCTATCATATAATCCTTGATATCATTTTAAAGATATTATATAATACTTGTTATCAATGTTAAGCAATGATATAAACCTTGTTATCGCTGTTAAGACATTATATAATCATATTTCTTTTAATGTTTTATGCCTGTTTATGAATTATTTCTTTTAAAGTTAATAGAGTTAATTTTAGGTACTAGTAACTAAAAAAAATTAAGACACAAAGAAATGTTAATTTTTTTAATGTTGCCTAATCCAGAATATTTTGCCAAATTTTTAGAGTCAGCAGAGAACGAATTAGACATGTTTTGTCCATCATCTTATAAATTTGCCATTCCAGATAAGGATCTCAATGAGAACACTAAGAGAGAGAACAGTGACCCTGCTATAGAGCAGATCCAAAACGAAGTCTCTCACTTTACCATCCTGGGGGAGTACATATCACAGAAATACCAACGACATGAGGTCTGTGATATCTGTTTTAAATTGGGCGATGATTTATTTCCTGCTCACAAATTAGTCTTAGCCTCACAGAGCCCTTTGTTTGCCGAGGTGTTTGAGCGAGAAGCCTTCTCAAATGAACCGGTGGCCCCCAAAGTGATAAAAGTCAAGGGAGTGTCAGAAGAAGCCTTGGTTTCCTTTTTAGATTTCTTATATTCTGGAAAGATGGATATCAACTCCGTGTGTTTAAGCGATGTTATAAAATTAGCTGCGGTCTTTAAAGTTGACCAGATACGACGTTTATGTCTAAGGAAAATCGAAAAGCTGAATTGTCAGGATTTGCTTCAGCTCTTGCCAACAATGGCAAAACTACAGGAACACGGTATATGCGACCTGATAATCAGGAAAATTACATATAACTTCCTGGAAGTTAAGGAGGATCCGGCATTTTTCAACCTTGACCTTGAAACTCTTTGTACGATATTGTCTGCTGATAATATCATAGTCAGGTCGGAGTTTGAAATTTTTGCGGCAGCAGTATCATGGATCCATCACCATGATTTCCAACAAAGAATCCATCACATCGAAAAAGTAATGACCTGTGTGAGGTTTACCCTAATGACCAGTCAAGAGCTGTTCCTTTGTTTTCGAAAATTTCCCATGCTGAAACAGAACCCGACCTGCGTCAACATGATAGCTATGGCCAATTGGTATATATATTTTTTTTAATTAATTTTCATCATGTCAATTTTGAATCAGTAATAAAAAGGTTTCATAACACATATGACTTACACAATGTACTAGAAGTTAATTCCACGTGATTTTATAAGAGTTCCTTAATCTTGTTAATTTCATTGAACTTCTTACCGTTAGTTTTTTTTTAACCGGAATCTCGTTAAGAAATTATTTCGACGTATAGTATAATATTAATAGTAAATTTTCCAGTAATTATAAAAACACATACAGTATAATTATTTAAGATATATGTTTATTCATTGAAAATCACTACATAACAGAGCTGTCCCTTACAACAAGGGACAAGGGCTTTTCGTTGCCTTTCCAGTTTCAAGGAAACCTCCTTTCAATTTGGTAACACCCCCTTTCAAGTAACATGTACATGTAGGGGAGAAGCCCATGGCCCACCTTATACTTTTTAATGTCCCCTGCTATTCCAATTTTAAGAGACAATTCTTTAACTATTAACACAATTTCAACACTAAGAATGTACAAGTTGCCACAAATGTTATTGTTTTACTTAATAAGGGCGAAGACCTCCATGGAGCTCAATGAGGAGGACCCGTTAGACCTCCCTGTCAACAAGAGAGACTGGTTCAATACTCAACAAAGTGTCAGTAAGTACGCAGAGGTAGGTCATCTTTTTTTTAAAAAATATCTTCAATTTCTTTAAATATCCTTTTTTTAATTCTATAACTTGAACATATATTTTTATAGCTTTTAAAGATTATTTTCAAGGAATGTGGCTTTTAGCCTAATCATTTATAAAAATGAATGTTATATATGTGTTTTATGTTTGCATAGTAATATGAATTAAACATTTAGAAAAAAAAATGCTCATATTTATTTATTTATTTATTTTTATATTTATAGATATTTTATATTTTTGGCAATTATACATGTAGAAATTCTTGATGAAAAAAAAGTCAATAAATAAATTTTCATGTCATAATCTAGGCATATGTGGTAAATGTATTATATTTGGCGTGTACAATATTTGGCAGAAATTAATTTTTCATTAAGTTACTTTATTTGAATAAGTGCTGTCTGAATGTGCTAGATGTAACCTCAAGACACAAGTAGTGATGAACTGGAAATAGCATATTCTGTTTTCTGCCAAATTACCTAAATACATGTAGAATACACCGCCAAATATAGTACATTTTCATTAACAAGATTAAGTATCATGTTAGATTTAGAAGTATTTCCTTCTTTTAAATCACTTCGCTATGATGTACTTCCCATCAGTATATTAATATCTCTATGTTAAGTTTACGTTTTTGCATATCAATATTTTTTCCCTTCATTCTATCATAAAAGTCCAAATCCAGCACCAATGAAAACGAGGATGTTGAAGTAAGAATAACTCGTGTGTCCCAGGAAATGGCGGAAGACTTTAACAGCCATGCCTACATAAAGAGCGTAGACTCTGTATGCATGCTGCCTAAACAACATCCTAAGATTGAACAATATAGAACTTCTAAATGTAAGTTTTAAGTATATATTTATTTGCAAATTTAGACATTTGATCTTACTTTGAAATTAGCATAAAAAAATCATAATTGATACTCATCAAGGGTAGAAACGTCCCAATCCCTAAAATTTACATTTTAAACCTTTCTACAAATACAGGGTGACTTTCATATAAACTTGCTAGTATGAAGTTTTCCTTTGGAGAAAGGTCAATTTTAAAAATGTGAAAAATTAATTCTAATATGGCTCTCAGTCCAAAGGGAGTCCAAGGGTCATTTTTAGAGGAACATTTTCTGGACTAGAAATTATTAGTTACAGCTATTCTGATATGTTAACTTGTAGGTGAAGCAACAGAACAGAGGAAGGTTTCAGAGAGTGGAAACAACAGGTATGTGCTTGTAGACATGCTAAACCCTATGAAGGCTATAAATTTTTATGCTCCCCAAACGAAGTTGGGGAACATATTGTTTTTACTCTGTTTCTTATTATTAAGGTCTTCCGTCTTCAGCGGAAGACCTTATTGTTTTTCTTCGGTTTCTTTTTCACTTTTATTATTTTTTTTTTCTTACCGATTTTGTGCACGCGATTTCTCCAAAACGGCTCAACAAAATCTTATGAAACTTTCAGGACGTATGGAACATCACTTGAACCTTATGCGTTTTTTTCCGTTTCGATGACGTCACTTCCGGTCTAGAGATATCGTCGAGTTTCTGATTTTTAAGGGTCAATTTTTCCACAAATTTACCGAAAAACGGCTCTAGATAGAAACATCAAAAATTGAGGCTAGGTAGAGCTATGTCTGGAGAGGTGCATCAGGTATATCAAATTTACCGGAAGTGACGCTCGTCGGCGCTCGCTATGGCCCGAAAATAGACCTATCACAAATTTCAAAATTTCTCACACCTTTTCTTCGATATCTTTTTACCTGAAAATATTTTGTGAAAACGTATAGAACAAAAGAAGTGCAGAATTTAAAGATCTTTCAAATGATATCTCGAAAAAAGGGCTGGCCCCTAAATTTAAGGGCCTAGAGGGGCCAACAGTTTTTTCTTTATATCTCAAAACGTATTGAGAATTTGTAATACGTCAAAGAAACAAAGTTGTTCAAAATGACAAGCTTAATCTATTGAAGTCGTCAGAAAACGTCCGGCGTCGTCACTTCCGGCCAAACCGGAAGTAGTCGAAAAAAGCGTATTTTTGCCGTTCTTGACAAGTTTTTTGGTAACAAATGTCTCTAGAAGCAAAAAAATAATTTTTTCGTCCGTTGTCGTCACTTCCGGTCAAACCGGAAGTAGCAAAAATTGCTTATTTTTGCATTAATTAACATAGTGTTAAAGGATTCAAACCATTTTTAGGCGTTATTTCTCATTTTTGTTAAAAATTAATGCTACTTCCGGTCAAACAGGATGGAAGACCTACTCGTTGCTTTGCAACAAGCTTTGCTCTAGTTATTATTCTTTTTTCTTCTTATTTCTTCTCCGGTACTTTTTTTGTCCGGAAGTGTTCTCAGAAACTGTTCACCAAACTAAGTTAAAACCTTTTTAGGGTTAGTAGGCATGTTGTGTAGATGTGCCGAACGAAGGTCATTTTGCGCGCATTCGCATGCACGTGCGGGCGCGTGCAATGAGTAAAATGACTGATATATTTAATATGGTTGTAACTTTTATATTTTTTGATAAAATGTTTTGAAACTCATTATATAAAGATATATAAGATGTGTAGATAAGATGACATGGTCAAATTTGCATGAACTCACGCGCATGCACGTGCGCTTTGCTCTGATTGGCTGAAACAGAAATCTCAATATCTTTTTTGTTTTATGATGAAATGCTTTGAAATTCATAACATAGACGGCATTAGGATGTACTACAATATGATATATAAAAATTTTCATGAAATTACGCGCATGCACGTGCGCTGCAATCTGATTGGCTGAAACTTTAAATGAGTATAACTCCCTTGGTTTTCAACCAAACAGCATGGGATTTATAACATAGATAAACGTAAAGGACTCCTACAAGACGGTATAGTCACCATTCACATGCATGCACGTGCGTGCACGTGCGCTTTGCTCTGATTGGCTGAAACAAAAATCTCAATATCTTTTCTGTTTTTTTACAAAATGCTTCGAAATTAAAAACATAAGCATACTTTAAGATGTCCTACAATTTGATATATAATAATTGTCATGAAAATACGCGCATGCACGTGCGCTGCAATCTGATTGGCTTAAACTTTAAATGGCTATAACTCCCTTGTTTTTCAACCAAACAGGATGGGATTAAGAACATAGACAGACATAATGGACTCCTACAAGAAGGTATGGTCGTCATGCACGTGCGTGCACGTGCATATGAGTAAAATAGTGTAGACAAGATGATATCGTCATAACGCTCATGCAATCACATGCACACGCCTGCATTGCTTGAATTTGAAATACTTGGTATACTTTTGGGAAAACGTTGTTTACGTCTTAAATGCATAGATTTTTATTTTTCTTCTTCTTCTTCTTCTTCTTCTTCTTCCTGGGTACTTTTTTGTCCGGGAGTGATCTTGTAAACTGTTCGTCCGATGTAGGTAAAACCTTTTTAGGGTCAGTAGACATGTTATGTAGATTTGCGGAATCAAGGTCATTTTGCGCGCACATGCTTGGAAGAGCGTGCACGTGCAACACGTGAAATGACCAATATAATGGATATAGCCGTAACTTTTCTATTTTTTGATGAAATTTTTTGAAACTCATAATGTAAGGATACATTAGAAGTATAGACAAGATAGCATGGTCAAAATAGCAAGATATCACGCGCATGCACGTGCGCTTCGCTCTGATTGGCTGAAACTAAAGTCTCAATATCTTTCTTGTTTCTTGTCATAATCCTTTGAAATTTTGAACATAGTCCTACATTATGAAGGTCTACAGCATGATATAAAAGAATTTTCATGAAAGCATGCGCATGTGCGCGTGCTGCAATCTGATTGGCTGAAACTTTAAATGGCTATATATCCTTTGTTTTTTGACGAAATTTTTTGAAATTCAAAATATAGTCATGCATTAGGATACCCTACAATATGGTATAGAAAAAAATCATGAAATCACGCACATGCACGTGTGCTGCAATCTGATTGGCTGAAACTTGAATTGGCTATAATTCCCTTGTTTTTCAACCGAACCGGATGGGATTTAGAACATAGATCGATGTTAGGGACTCCTACAAGAAGGTATGGTCATCATGCACGTGCACGCACGTGCGTGCATTTAGAACGAGTATAATTAAAAATACACTTGAATGAGTGATTTTTATTACTTTTGGACGGAATGCTTTAATATATAGTATATTAAAATATATAGATAGTGTAGACAAGATGATATGGTCATAACTCACATGCATTCACATGCGCTGGGGTGCAATGCAAAAATTTGAATATAATTGGTATCCTTTTGGGAAAACGTTGTTAAAGTCAAAAATGCACCGAGTTTGTCTTATTTAATGAAGCTTACAGGGAATATGGCACCAAAAGGGAGTTGGGGAGCGTTTGGGGAACATCTGTAACGGTTCCCGTTACAATTAGCACTAGTTATTATGTTCCCCAAACGAAGTTGGGGAACATATTGTTTTTACTCTGTTTCTTATTATTATTATTATTATTATTATTATTCTTTTTTCTTCTTATTTCTTCTCCGGTACTTTTTTGTCCGGAAGTGTTCTCAGAAACTGTTCACCAAACTAAGTTAAAACCTTTTTAGGGTTAGTAGGCATGTTGTGTAGATGTGCCGAACGAAGGTCATTTTGCTCGCATTCGCATGCATGTGCGGGCGCGTGCAATGAGTAAACTGACTGATTTATTTAATATGGTTGTAACTTTTATATCTTTTGATAAAATGTTTTGAAACTCATTATATAAAGATATATAAGATGTGTACATAAGATGACATGGACAAATTTGCATGAACTCACGCGCATGCACCTGCGCTTTGCTCTGATTGGCTGAAACAGAAATCTTAATATCTTTTTTGTTTTATGATGAAATGCTTTGAAACTTACGAAATAGACATGTATTAGGATGTACTACAATTTGATATATAAAAGTTTTCATGAAATCACGCGCATGCACGTGCGCTGCAATCTGATTGGCTGAAACTTTAAATGACTATAACTCCCTTGGTTTTCAACCAAACAGCGTGGGATTTAGGACATTCTTAGAACGAAAAGCCACCTACAAGATGGTGTGGTCACCATTTACATCTATGCACGTGCGTGCACGTGCGCTTTGCTCTGATTGGCTGAAACAAAAATCTCAATATCTTTTCTGTTTTTTTACAAAATGCTTTGAAATTTAAAACATAGGCATACTTTAAGATGTCCTACAATATGATATATAATAATTGTCATGGAAACATGCGCATGCACGTGCGCTGCAATCTGATTGGCTTAAACTTTAATGGCTATAACTCCCTTGTTTTTCAACCAAACAGGATGGGATTAAGAACATAGACAGACATAATGGACTCCTACAAGAAGGTATGGTCATCATGCACGTGCGTGCACGTGCATATGAGTAAAATAGTGTAGACAAGATGATATCGTCATTACGCTCATGCAATCACATGC